AAAAAAAAAAAAAAAAACTGGTGCACCGTCTTTGGGACACAGGTGCTCTTCATCTAACACAGTATGTTGATGAGTAACTGTGAGGCAAGTCCTTAAAGTTTTTACAAGCAAAGAAAACATTTCTAAGGCTTCAAGGAATGTGAAGGCCTGCCAGTCCAAAAGCATAAGCTTTCCTTCAGAAGTTATTTGAATACCTAAGCCAGGGGATAAATTCTACCTCAAGAGACTACTGGGAATATTCCTTTGAGTGCGTGCTACCAATGTAAATAAAAAGGAAAGATCAACCTGGATATTTCCCTTTTCCTACCTCTTCTAGACGCCGTCTCTGTTCCTTCTGTTGCTCAATCCGTTTTTGTCTCTCTGCTAGCAACTGCCTTTTATATTCTTCCTGCTCACGGAGCTGTTGCTCCTGCAGTAGCTGTTGTCTCCGAAGAGCCTCAGAACGTTCCTTGTTCTCCTGCTGCAGTCTCAAAAAATCCCTTCGAAGAGTTGATTCACCAGGCACATTAACAATGGAACTGTAGAAGGGAGCAAGAACTATGAGGGATGCGTCCAGATGGCAGTGGCCTCTGAATGAGGCAGCAGCACCAGCATTCTATTCTCCTTCTACGTTCATTCTCTTACTAAGTTACTCCCACTCTCTTGGGATTCAACTAGTAAGTCTATAGCAATGACTCTATCTACTTCTCAATAGTCTCATGTCATCTTTTATTCATTTAGTAAATACTTTAAAACTTTGTTCTAGATGTTTGTTTGACAACTATTTTCAGGACATTTTTACTTAGGGTTCTCACATAAATTCAAAACATATCAAATGAAATCACCTTCTTTTTCCAATTCATTAGTTCTCCCTTCGACTACCTTATTTTCCATCAGTAAGGGGAGCATCAAGGCTGGAAACATCAGAGTACTACTCTTGAGCGCCGACCTCTACTTCAACTTCTCTGATCAACCATCAAGGCTTAACACTGTATTTCCCCTCCCATTTTCTTTATTTCCACAGTGAGCAGCTGAACCCGAGTGGGTCCTATGAATTAGCCATTGCACAGATGAATTAAATTGCATCATTCCTAGCTGATCTCCCTGCTGCAGTCATTTCTCTACTTCCAAACCACCCAGAATGGCATGCCAAACAAATCCCCTTCAATGGCCTCTTTTATTGTATCATATTGTTCTTGCTGTTGTCAAGTGCCATTGAGTCGGTTCTGAGTCATACAACGCTACAATAGCATGAAACATTGCCCGGTCCTGCGCCACCCTCACAATTATTATACCATACTCCCAAGTCATACTCTTATTTGAAAAGTTATATTACTCATGAAATCAGGTCAAAGTCCTCTAAAGTCTAAAATGGATTCAAGTCTTCTCCTACATAAGGAGAAAAAGATACTATGGAGTTTCGTCAGTAAATTCTCTTTCATCTCTTCACATACTCTCTTCAAACTTACAACATACCCTTCTATCCTCCTTTTGTTCAATTAGTCAGTCATGTATAGCTGAAGTATGAACCACTGCCAGGTAAACCTGTTATTAAATCCAAAAATCCGCTGTTCCCTATTATGAGTTCATCTACCAATTTTAACTCTTTAACTTCTGCTTCACTGTACCTCAGAAGGCCAGAGATAAACCAAAGGAGATTATAAGTAAGACCAGGACAGAATATACCTTAACAGAGGAAAGAAATGCTGGTAATCATACTTATCAGGATGAAAAAAAACAAAAAAGAAGGGGGGAAATAGAATAAATAAATTTGTTTTGAGAAGGTCCTTCATCACATAAATAGCACACTTCTTTTGTACAGGACTGTCCTATGTACCACAAGGCATTTCCCACCTGAAGCTCCTAGAACATTAACCGCCAGTGGCAATCTCACATTTCCAAATGACTGGGGGAGAAGGGCACATACAATCCTTGGTAAAGAACCACTGGGCAAGAAGATCCACATGGGAAAAATGTTTCTAAGAATCTTTCAAATAATAGAAAAATGAAAGATTTTAAGGCATTTTCAGATTAATTTAAGGTTCCTTCACACTACGAAGGAGCCTTCTGAAAGCCTGGCATCAGCATGAAACTTACTCTCTTCATAAAGCAGGAAGCTGAACATTGGCTTTATCAATTACCTTGGCTCTCCCTCCTGCTCAGGCACTTCCTCCTCCTCTTCTTCACTTCCACTGTACTCATACTCTGTTTCATCTATAAAGAAAAGGACAAAACAAAATGAGATGGTTCACAAATCATGACATATGCATGTACAGGCAAGTATCTCCAGTATTATGACAGGAAAGAAATAATATATTCTTTGTGAAAACAGCAAAGTGCACTGGAGAATTTGTAGCGAGGAGGAATGTCGCACCTAATTCCCACAATGAATTGTAACAATTCTCTGGGCGAGCCTTACTCCCTCTAGAAGAGCTGACTGCACTGTATTCAGGACACATCTTACATGGATGACTGCTGAAGAAGTATGAGAAAGGGCTCCAGAGAACGTGGCACAGAAGATAAAGTGGCCCAAGAGTGCCAGCAAATACAGAGATTCCACTTTGATGCCAAAATTCAAAAGAGATGGAGCTGGTGAAACTAATTGTTACAACTAATAGAAATTAATCTGGTTATTTTTGTCAATCAGGGACCCAATGAGAGGGTAACTGAGAGAAAAACCTATCAGTCTGACAAAAAGTGTAACATTATGTAGGTACATACTTGGAGCAGAAAATGAATGAAATATACCCACAAACTATAAAAGGCGCGGGGGGGGGGGGGGGGGGGGGGGACGACGACGACGACGACGACTAATGAAACAATATAGCAAGAGAATGAAACAAAACCTCATTCTTCTTAAACCAGACTTCATGTCCAAGTTTCAACACGAAGTATTTATTCTCATTTCAACAGGTTTTGTGCCATTTTCCCCAAAATAAAAACCATTTTATTGGTCCTGTTACTTAATGTCAATATCCAACTTAAGTGAGCAATTTCACTCCAGAGAGCCATCAAAACCAGAGAAGCAAAAAAGACTTTTAAATTCACAAACTAGAAATACATTTTTATCCCCCCTGAGACTTATTAAATGAAAATCTGTTCTCTGTTAAAATGGGGCTGAGAATTTAAAATATGATTCAGGACAAACTAATCACATAAATGGCATTAATCTTTTCTATGCTAAATGTGGAATGGACAGAAAAAAATCAGGGCTAATAAATTTAATGGATGTACAGAGACACTCTAACTTGTAAGGGCAATTCCAACCTTTAAATACATACTCTGATATGTTTAAAAATTTTCCACTACAAACTGTTAATTACTGACAAGAGAAGGTGAGGGTATACAGAAAGTGAATGCAAAAATAAAACAAAGAGGCCACTGGACTTAGAGATAATGGGAAAAATGATCACAACTGTGGTAGTTGTGTTTGTGTGTCAGCTTGGCTGGGCCTGGTTGAGTGGCTGGCCAGCTGGTGGTAGTTACTCCTCACGATGAGACTGGAAATCAACTGCATGGTGGGATCTACCACTGAGTAGCTGCCTTTGGGATGTGGTCTGCTTCCTGTATATAAGGAGAAGTTTTGAGAATGGTCTCTAGCCTATGGCACGCTTGGGCCCTGCATGTAGCCGTGTGGTTGCTCAGCAGCCCGCTATGCTCTGCCAACCTTAGGACTTACAGTGGACTTAAGTTAATGGTCTGCCATGTGGATTGATAACATCGGGAATGTGTTTTTTTACTTGTTAATCTTGGGGCTTCTCAGCCTCAGCAGCCAGCAGCTGTCTGAGTGAAGGAATGCCTCCAGCTTCAGTGGGCTGGGAGCAGGAGGCAGAGCTGGACCCCAAGGCTGAAGGGCTTTCACCCAGCCCCTACAGCCTGGCACTTTGAACTTGGACTTAAAGCCTCCAAATCGTAAGAATAAACTTCTGTTTGTTAAAGCCATCCTGTTTGTGGTATATTCTTGTCAGAGCGACAGTAGGTAACCAAAACATACGAAGTGACTTTTTTTAAAAAGAGAACTATTGTGTCAACTGACCGTTGAGCAAAAACATCATGTTAACTTTCTTTTCAACCTTTAGTTTACTGTGTTATGGCTGTTTAGCTTAATGTACAATGCTTATTAGTGTTTATAACAGAATATATGAGGGCAAAAAGTTTTGAAAATCGATGCTTAACTATGAATACTGGAGTTATTTAATACTCAAATGAGTATGTAAAGTGTTCAGTATGTAGCCCAGAAAATGACTCTTCCATCAACTCTTTATAACTCTGAACTTGCTCTTTTTAGCTTCTTCTTTTGCCTTGAAATTTTAGTGTCAAAAAAAGAAAAAGAGTTTCTTCAGTGATGCCAGTTATCTAAATGTTATTCTGTAAAATTATTCTAAAAGTGCACAAAACAGAAAAATCAATGTAAGTTAGGGTCCCAGGAGAAGGTCTGGTGAAGATGGTGATGGTGCTTGAACTACACGCTGCTGGAGAAGAAAAACAGAGGGCACTGCGGACAAGGGGACGCGGTGTGTGTAAAGATATAAAACCAAGAGTCAGGGCACAATTACTGGGAACAGAAAGAAATCTTAAGTAATTAGCATAAAGCATGCTCATGTTGTGTAGCAGTAAGAGAAGAAAAGTGGTATCGGTGGCCCATGCCTAACCACACAACCTGTACAAGCCCACAGCAGTAAGAAACCCTGCTGAGTTCTTGAGCAGGAGAATAACATGATGGAAAAACGAATGCTGATTCTCACAGCTAGTTCTCAATAAACCCCAAGTGAAGTATACCATAAACACAACATTCATAACCAAGTAGGGGAAGGGGAAAAAAAGTATCAACAAAGATGTGTTCCTGAGGAAGAACTAGAATATCACACACCATGCTAATAGGATAGGGTGTCTATCCAGTTGGTTCCAGCTTGATGACACAATGCACAGCTCAGTATCACTGTGGATACTACATTCTACCAATGAGCTGCAGGGCAGAGACAAACTATTAATCAAAACAGATTGAATACCTTTCTCTCCTCTCTTCTTTCTGGTCCGGTCTATATGGTCCTTAAGCTGGATTCTAACTTGCCTTTCATTTGGCTGATCCCTTATAAAAGGATGTTTCAAAAGCTGCTCTGTGGAGGGCCGTTGCATGTAATTCTTCACCAGGCACCCTTCTATGAAACTAAAAAATTTCTTTGACCTGTAAGAGGAAGTTAAAAAAAAAATCATCAAATTTCTACCACAAAGAGCTCTAAATTATCAGTTAAGTAACATGACTGAAAACAATGAAGAGCCTCAGAATTCAACATGAACATTCTGAAGTGCACAGGAATATACTGTTATAGGTGGCATGGAGTTGGCTCTGACTCACAGCAAACCTAATACAAAAGAACAAAACGCTGCTCAGTTCTGCACTGTTCTCACAATCGCTATATTCGAGCCCATCATTGTAGCCACTATGTCAATCCTATCTAGCTGGTGAGGACATTTGGAAGGTGAATGCAAAGAGAAAATAATGAGGCCAATGGGACTTGGAAATAATGGGAAAATGATCCAATATAAAATAACTTTTTCCAAAAAGAGAGCTACTGTTTCAACTAAGAGAACAGAAAAGACATTTTACTTTCTCTTCAACCTTTAGTTCACTTTGTTATGAATGTTTAGCTTAATGAGCAAAGCTTAATTGCTTTTATGACTGAAACAGGAACTAAGGACTTTTGAGGATGAGGAATATTAATTAAACATAGTTTAGAAGTTATTCCCTCATCAAGAACATACCATGAACAGAGAACTATGATGGAAGTCAGCTTTAAATGAATTGGGTTGTAATGCTGCTTACTAATCACTTATTAATCTAGATACAGAGGAAGCAAGGAGGACAGAGGGAGGTTTCTGTAAAAATGAAGGCAGATAAAGGATAGATGTCTGGTACCTAGAAAACTAGGACACACAAAGACATAAGACAGTCAAACCAGTGACCAAAAACTAGGATTCTTGAACCTACTAATTGTTGTTGTCGTTGTTATGTGCCTTCGAGTCGGACCCGACTCTTAGCGACACCCCCCCTTGGGTTTCTAAGGCAGTATCACTACGGAAGTAGATTGCCCCATCTTCCTTCTGAGGAGTGGCTGGTGGGTTTGAACTGCCAGCCTTCTGGTTAGCAGTCAAGTGCCTTAGGCACTATGCTACCAGAGCTCCTGAACCTACTAACAATGATCCTTCAATTAGAACTTCAAACTAAGTTTGTTTATTCAAAGAACTTGATCAGTTCTCTATGCTTAATGTACAGACATAGAAATTAATGGTTTTGAGGGGAGCAATGATTGTCACTTGCATTTATTGTACTAGTCACTTTTGTTTAAGGCTGTTGCCTGGCTCAGGATGACCTCCATCTCTAGCCTTGGCCAAGACACTGGGACCCATCCCATCCTGTGAGACTCAGCTAAGGAATCTTCTCTTCTGGGAAGCCCAATCCCCACACACTGTAAGTCAGGAGCCTTTCTCCTGGGATCATCTGCACTTAACAGACTGTCTGTGTATGTTTCTGTGTGGTTTGAAATGGTGAAGAGTCAGGAACTGGTTCCTATTTTTCAAGTTATCAGCAATGTCCAACACTGGGCATGGCACAGAACAAAATGTATATAAGTAAAATTTTGTTGAATGAATGAATGATTATTCATTGTTTAAAAATGTAACTTAAAAACATAGTTCAGTTCCTTCCAATTACTTCCCTGCTTTAAAGAAATGCTTTTATTGTCTTGCATTTTGCTTCAAATTTACTATTGTTGTTTTTCATTCAATAAATATGTATATACCAATTATTTATATTTTGTTATGTTAGGCTCTATTAGAAGTATGCCTATGGCACTTGACTGCTAACCAGAAGGGTGGAGGTTCAAACCCACCAGCCACTCCTCGGAAGGAAGGTTGATCAATCTACTTCCATAGAGACACTGCCTTGGAAACCCAAGGAGGAGTCGCTATGAGTCAGGTCTGACTCGATGGCACAGGACAACAACAACATTAAAAGTATACACAGAAACTAAATGAATTAAATTTAGGGTATAGACAATAACAAGATACATAATCAAACTTAATGAGGAAGGAAAAAATAATTGTTATGGTGGGCTGAACATAAAAAAAAAAAAAAATAGTAGAGTATGTGGTAGTCTAAAGATGGGAGAGAGAAGATAGCCTTCCAGGGTAAAGGAACACATGAACAAAGGTAGAAAAATTTTAGAGTATAATGAATAGTTTTCTGTGGCTAAGTATAGGAATGGAAAAGACTGAAAAACTAGGTTAGCATCAGCTCAGAGAAGATCCTTAAAGTCACTCAAAGAACATCAAAGATGTTATACCATGTAGTAGAATGTTCAGGAGCTCTGGTAGCACGGTGCCTAAGGCACTTGACTGCTAACCAGAAGGCTGGCACTTCAAACCCACCAGCTACTCCTCGGAAGGAAGGTTGGGCAATCTACTTCCACAGCAATACTGCCTCAGAAACCCAAGAAGAGGTCGCTTTGAGTCGGGTCTGACTTGATGGCACATAACAACAACAGTAGAATGTTCTAACACAAAGATTCCCCAATCCCCTTGACCATCAGAATCACTGGGTAGAACTTATTAAGAATACAAATACTTGGGTCACTCCCAGACCTAATGAATCAGAGCCCTGAAATAAAAGTGCCCAGAGGGATTCTCATGTACTGTGTCCACAGGTGCTATTGTACATTCTTTAAAAACAACTATGAGGTTCTACTGGAAAAGAGATCAGTGGTCATCTTTTGAAAGTCCCTTCTCTAAAACCAGCAGCAGAAATATGCAACTGATGGACAGGAAGACAGAAATCAAAAAGGAAAAACAACTTTATGTTTACAATCATCTAGTCATATTAGAATATTTGGGTAAAGTGAAAACAATGATGAAAAAGGATGAACATGGCAGCTAACCAAGTTCAGTTTAATAAAGAAACACAGAAATTCTTTATCGTCATCTATATCTACCACTTCACATCACTGTATGTTGTACACACAGCATTTAATCCATAACTACAAGTAAAACCCATCCACTGCCATCAAGTCGAATTCAACTCATAGCAACCCTTTAGGGCAGAGTAGAGCTGCCCCTAGGTTTCCAAGGCTGTAAATCTTTATGGAAGCAGACTTCCTTGTTTTTCTCCCATGGAGTGAATGGTGGGTTCAAACCACAGACCTTTTGGTTAGCAGCTGAATGCTTTAACCACTACAGCACCAGAACTCCTTAACTACAAGTAAAGGACAGAATTATCAGGGTGAGGCCAACTGATAAGTCTCAAAGATTGTGACGTATACTAAGATAGAGCAATCTTCAGCAATCCTTTCAATATAGACTTTCTTCTATAAAATCTGCCAGAGAGAAAGGAAAAAAACTACTATTTCTTAGATTTTATGAGCCAGACAAGTTATTATTCCAGTCCCATAGTTTATATTTCAGGATGTCCAGTACACGCATTTGGGCTCCCAAGGGCTGACCACTCATGGACGCCCAGAGCTACCATGTCTTAACACAAGATGCCATTTAGTACTAAAATCTCTGCAACTGTGTGGCCTAGAAAAACCTCTCAAACAAACTAGTAATGGAATTAAGACAGCTTTAGTTATCTTGGAAGGATCTCTGGTGGTGTAGTAGTTAAGACATTTGGGGGCTAAACAAAAAGTCATTGGTTTAAACCCACCAGCTACTCTGTGGAAGAAAAATGGGGCAATCTGCTTCCATAAAGATTTACAACCTTGGAAACCCAATGAGGGTCACTAAGAGTTGGAATCGCCTCAATGACAAAGGGTTTGGTTTTGTTTTCAGTTATCCATAGTAGACTGTGGTGACAGACAATATATAAAGAATCAGAAAATTTGCACAAATGGAAGAAAGACAGGGAAAGAATGATGAAATGTGTTGAGGGTAATGGGAAAGGAAATGGGAAAGTATGAAAGAAACTAAAGTAAAAAATGTTTGTGTGCGATTTTGGAATTCAAAATGGAATCTCATCAGTAATCACCACGCTATTTCCCTCTAGCATCTTAGTGCTTGAAAAATAGGTACGGCAGTTTGAATTAAGGATTCTGGTGCAATGAACAGTTCACTGAGTCAGAGTGCACCAAACTCAGAGGAGCAGAATTAGAAAGAAGAAACTGACAGGGAACAACACCAAGATCAGAAGATCCATCCTGCGGATTGCCGATAAGCAGTCAAGAAAAGCCACTGGAGACTTCCCCAGGGAAGCGCCAACCAGCAGGCAAGAACAGCCATCTGAGACCTCCCTGGGTTAAGGAAGAAGACACACCACACCAGCATACCAGCGACCACACCAACATACCAGAGATCTCCCAAGGATCTACCTTCAGCACCTGATTTTATTGGTAACTTGGGTTGGCTAGGTGCAAACAGGCATGTCCAGCACCCTGAAAACCCGAGCAGAGTCCATAGGTGCTGCAAGAGGGTAGGCCCAGGGAGGTGCCCCCAGTGAGTAAGCTTGGGTCAGCTTAGTGGCACTAAGAGTCCTGTGCTTGACTTTATCAGTAATATCGGGACCACAGATTACTAGGAGGTACTCTCCCGACTCCAGCGCTGCTGAAACTGAGTGGATCTTTGGCGCTGCGGGTGGGTGGACCCACAGAGGAACTCCCGAGGTGGACTGCGGTCCACGCCAGTTGGGCCAGCACCGCGGGCAGGCAGACCCAGAGAGAGAAATCCCTGCAATGGATCACAGAGCCAGGAAGTTATCTTGGGTTGGCTTTTTGGTGCCAAGGGGCCTTGGAAGCAGGGTTTTTGCATGTGTCTGAGTCCGGCGCAAAGTGGAGATCCCCTAACAACTAGGAGTCTTCATTGAAATTGAGCTGAGGGCCTGTTAATAAAAGTACAACGTCATCAGTAGCAGCCCACTCAAAGCCCTAGAAACCGCCCCTAACAACAGCAAGCTTTCCTTCTTCCGCTCTCACCTTCTCTGCCAACAACTTCACTCATCCAATAGAGGAAACCACGTTCAGCCACCATAAAACCTCCCGGTTTGAACTCTAAACCCTCCTTACGACAAACAGAAACCCATATCCACATTCCACACAGTGATTCCACCATCACAACGAAAACTGCAGAGCAACCCAGCATACCTGAATTAATAACTAAAAAAATAAAATATACCAGCTTCACCTTTTCAAAATATTAAAC